TCAACCTTTTGCCACATTTCAGGCTTCAAACATAAAGATATAAAATTTTAATTTTTTGTGAAGAATCAACAACTAGTGGGACATCCAAACAAGTTAAATCTGGTCCTCTGGACATTCAAAATAAACAAAAAACAAAACAAAGCAAAAAAATGTAGAAACGTTTCGTCTCTCATCCTGAGGACTTCCTCAGTCTGAGGAGCTGTATTCAGCTCAGTCTCTTAAATAGCACCTTCTCAGAGTGGATCAACCAGTTTGCTGCTGACAACCAGAACCAGCTGATCACATGCTCAAGAAGGACCATCAGCCTAACAATGGATCATTAGCACCTGATGGCTGTTTACTGTTCACAGAGGGCTGAGTGATACTAGCAATCACAGCATTGTAAGAGGGGGACAGTTGAACCTGGAGGCTCCACCCCTGTTTAATGATGGACGGTTTCTTTTCACAAAGATGGCCTCCTTTACTCCTCTCTCAAACCATCGTTCCTCTCTGTCCAGGATGTGAACATCTTCATCCCTGAAAGAGTGACCGCTGACCTGGAGATGAGTGTAGACCTCAGAGTCCTGGCCTGATGATGTTGATCTTCTGTGCTGGTCCATCCTTTTGGCCAGTGGCTGTTTAGTTTCCCCGATGTAAGACTGATCACCCTCCTGACACTGAACAGCATACAGGAGGGCTGTGATTCTCATTCACCGGGGTGAACCCCAACACACAGGCACCAAGTTGGGGGGCAATAAGTATGCCCACGCCTGCTCAGCGCCTCTCACCAGGGGCAACTCCAGAGTGGAAGAGTGTCCAGCCCCTCTCAAGGAAACTGGTTCCAGAGCCCGAGCCATGCGTAGAGGTGAGTCCCGACTATTTCTAGCCAGAACCTCTCAGCCTCACACACCAGCTCAGGCTCCTTCCCCACCAGTGAGATGACATTCCACGTCCCAATAGCCAGCTTCTGTAGCCGAGGATCAGACCGCCAGGGTCTCCGCCCTCGGCCACCACCCATCCCACATTGCACCCGACCCCTTTGGCCCCTCCCACAGGTGGTGAGCCCATGGGAAGGGGGACCCACGTCTCCTCTTCGGGCTGTGCCCGGCCGAGCTACCTGGGTAAAAGCCCGGCCACCAGGCTCTCGCCTGCGTGCCCCACCTCCAGGCCTGGCTCCAGAGTGGGGCCCCGGTGACCCACGTCCGGGCAAGGGAACACTAGGTCCATTTGTGTTTCTCATCATAGGGGTGTTTGGGCTGCACTTTGTCTGGTCCCTCACCTAGGACCGGTCTGCCATGGGTGACCCTACTAGGGGCATAAAGCCCCTGACAGCATAGCTCCTTGGATCATTAGGACACTCAAACCCCTCCACCACGGTAAGGTGGCAGCCCAGGGAGGGGGTTGATTCTTCACAAAAAATTTAATTTTATATCTTTATGTTTGAAGCCTGAAATGTGGCAAAAGGTTGAAAAGGGGGCCGAATATGTACGTGTGTATATATAAATATATATATATAT